CAAGATTTACCGGCTAATGATAATTTTTGGTCGGTGTACCATTTATGCTAGTTAGATTTTGTGTGATGTCGAGTGTAGTTTGTAGCAGGCACAACCTTCTCCTTGCTGCTCGTTTGAGTTTGTGGCTGAAATTGTGTTCAAGTTCACCTCGACCATATCTTCTTGCTTTGCTGAGGTAAACCTTTCCATTCCCTGCAATGCAGCTGCTATTTTTCGGAACAATGGCTGCATTAATTATAATTAACTTATTAATCAACAATTAATTTTAAATTGCAATGAGCTAATGTTCTGATTATTGGGATAGATACATTTTACAAATACGATGTTTTAATTCGATCATTACCTTTAAATTGAAACCGACTCTAGCGCTAGTTTCTATGAATATGAGTCCCGATTGACGGGCTTTTGTATCTCCTTCATCGATGGAAACTTGCCTGCACACACACACACACAATATACTAATGACAGTTTAATATTCTCTTTTGACTGACTTTTGTATTCATAAAATTAGCCATAAATGATAAATAGGTAATTCACACATGACCTTTTATCGACAAGATCGGTCTTGTTTCCCACAAGAACGATAATGACATCACTGCCACGTTCTGTACGTACTTCTTGAATCCATTTCGAAGTGTTCAAAAATGACTTACGATCTGTAAATGCATTATTATTACATCGAGAGCACACAAGAATTTATGTTTAAACCTTATGTGCTAAATTTATGTCCTAAATAAATACACAAATTAAAAGTGCTATACACAGCTACTTGCTAGCAACATCATAGACAATCACTGCTACAGAAGAATCTCTGATGTAGCTTGGAATAAGACTCCTAAACCTTTCTTGTCCAGCAGTATCCCTGTAGAGTTAACCAACTAGAAATTAAATTAAAGCACACATAAATCGAATATTAATTCAACATATGACTTATTATCTCAAAATCTATAATAATAATAATAATAATAATAATAATAATAATAATAATAATAATAATAATAAACGAGTTACCAGAGCTGCAAGCGAACCGTTCAATCCTCGAGGTACATTGTCTTGGACAGAAAGTCTATGCCAATTGTAGCCTACATATGAAAACAAAAACACTTATTTCATTTCATCAAACAACTCAAAAAAACAGAAAGACCAAATCCACGATTATGGGATTGCTAGGTACCAATATTCGATATATTTCTGAAAGAAAACTATCATGCAGCCATTTAAAGAGTGGAAGCTCGCAGATTATCATTCAATTGATAGTTTCACGATGTTACGTAAACATATATATCTTGATAAATGAGTGAAAGGACGAAAAGCAAAACCTGGTAATTGGCGTCAAATTTATCGTACATGAAGCGCGTGATGATGCTTGTTTTGCCCACCGATTGATCCCCCAGAAAAACAAGCTTGTACTTTGCTAGAGGCGACAAGGCCATCTCTCTTTCTCTCTCTCTCTCTCTCTCTCTCTCTCTCTCTCTCTCTCTCTCTGTGAGTGTGTGTGTGTGAAGATGATTTGATTTGGCAATAACATGCAGATTATCAGCCAACATTATAGAGAGGCATGCATTGCACACTAGTGCATGAAAAGTCAAATATGGCCTTCTCAATTTCACAAGTGACTTACTTTAGAACACAACATAAACAAAAGTATGGCGGATCGACCGGCCTAACCGTTAGACTGCCTAACACAAGAATTCGTGTAAAATTATATAACCTTACATGCACAAAGGGATACAATTAGCTGGAGCCATAAGAAAAAAAGGTGGATTTCACTTTCCTTGAGCGCAAAGGGAGTTAAGAGGTGTGTTGTACAGTTACTAATAGTAGCTGTGCATTTAAAGCTTTGTTGTAAATTTGAAGATACTAAAAATCAGACATAAATGCACATGCCTAATGCTACCATCTAATTAAGGTACTTTTTTTAATTTCTTGTGGGAAATAGGTTTCTATACTTGCCGATCAACAAATTTCGGTTTTTAGCTCAGTCCTAATAATTTTACCTGCCGATATTCATTTCTCCTTCATCTTAACTCTGCCTAATAATTTTAACAGTTCAAAATCTGTAGACACTATTCGATCGACACTATCGAATTATCATTCTGCGCAATACCATTACCAAATATCAAAATCAAAATACTATTTGATCGACAATATCCAACAGAAGCAAATCAAAGTAACTCCACATTTCCAGAAACTAAAACCCAAAATATCATAAGACATAATGAAAAACTACAAGTTATGTACTCTTTAGCCAAGAAAAGAAAAACGGAAAATCTTCATTAGTGACAGAAAAAATCCCATTCAACTCACACATCAACTATCATTATGAAGTAGAGACAACAACAAATCCAAAGAGTTCCAAAAAGAACCAAAGGAGCATCATTCTGCGCGATACCATTGCTAAATATCATGACACTATTCAATTGACAATATCCAACAGAAACGAATCAAAGTAACTCCACATACCCAGACAATAAAACCCGATGCCACATTGCATCAAAACACCTAGTTTCCATCTCTAACATCCTCCATAAATTCCAAAAAGAAAAAAATAAAAAAATAAAAAAAACTTCAACTCGAACAGCAAGAGTTACCTCCCGATCGAGGTCATGCTGCTCCAAGGGAACTTGGTAACCGGTTTGGATTCAACCTTCTCCCCACGGCCCCTCGTCCGCTCGCCAAATCTACGCCGTTCGCCGGGCCCGAATCTTTCGCCGTCCTTCTTCTCGTCAAGCCAGTGTGAACTCTTCACAGTCTCCGGATCTTCCAGGATGCTCGATTTCGACTGCTTGCTCATGTTCTTCTTCTCCTCCTCGATGACCCTTATGGGGAAAAGATCAGGGTTTAAGGACAGAGGGTTTCTCAGCGTCACGTAAGCTTTCTTGTAATCGGGCCTAGCGATCAACAGCCCGCCACGCTTCTTCTTCTTGCCCTCCATGTTTAAGGTGTGAACTCTCTCCACCTCGAATCCGTACAGGGACTCGAGAACCCTCTTGATCTCTATCTGCAATATGAATACGAAAAAGTAAAATGAAGAAAAGGGAAAACGGGAAACTGACAAAGATCACATTTTTTTTGGCAGATTGAAGCTCGCGGCGGCGCACCTTGGAGGCGGAGGGGATGGTTTTGAGGGCGATTTCAGTGATGTTGGAAAAAGATGAGGGCATGAGGAGTTTTATGGGTAGGTTGGCAAAGTTCACGATTCTTCTTCCCAATCGGCTTCCCATTTTGTTTGCCTTTGACTTTGAGAGAATTTCAGTAAACGCGTGGCTAGATAATGTTAGTGTGGAGATTTCAGCTATGGCGGAGTTGGAGTGTGCTCTGGGAAGAAGAGGGCAACCGCAGAGTGAAAGTGGAGAGGTGGTTGTGGTTGGGCCTGGGCTTTTCGATCGTTTGTTTGTTTGGGCCGTAATCTCAATTGAAATGCCTAGTCCACTTAGTACGCTTTTTTATTCTATGGATTTTGAAGACTTGTTTGATATTTGATAATTTGAGGCATTAACTCTAAAGTCCCGTCTGACTATATATCTATTACTATATAATACGGAGAAGAAAAATTATTTAAACAATCCAAAAATAATCTTTTTGTTTTCCCGCTTCAATATAGTATTTTTCCCGCTTCTTCAATTCGTAAATTTTTTTTTTGAATTTTTTCAGCCCATGCAATTAGGTAACCAATCAAATCGAATCTTTTAGCATTTAATTTGGTAAGGTGTTCCAATTTTAGCATTCAAAACCGATTTCACTTTCTTTTTTATGCCAATCAATCCGATTTTTTTGGTTGTTTCAAAATTTGTTTAGATTTATATTTTTATTTTATTAATATATTTGAAAGAGAATCAATAAATGTTTATCATAACTTTTATTTTAAAAATAAATTTGAATAAGCATACCTTTTACTTTATATGAAATTCAAAATTACATATTTTAATATATTAATAAACGTTTATTATTTATTTTTTTCCTTATGTGATATAATAGAATTTCGGTATTAAATTTGTAAATTCAAACATTTAAAGGAAAAGATTCCAAACAATTTTTTTTGGGTAAATTTCATTTTATCTTGGTTTCATTATCACATTTCTAACAAACTAATTAGTATTATATTTTTTTATCTACATTATCTAACCGATTTTTTATGATACAATTAATATAATATCTTAACAAATTAATCATTTGTCTAACCGGATTTATCTCTCTAACAAACTTGCCAATTTTTTAAAATTAAAATGGTATGATTATTCTTATGGAGATACTTAGCAATATATTAAATATTTAGAATTTTTTTTTAAAAAAATGAGTTATCCCTCCTTTTACTTTATTTGAAATTCTGACTTATATTTTTAAATATATTATTATTTATTTTTTTACATGTAACTATTTATTATTTATTATCTAAGTGATAAATATTATTGATTTATCTCTTTAATAAATATTTATTATTTATTTTTTGGCCAGCGATATTGCCAGAGCACATTTTAGCCGCAAGAGCAAAATTGACAGTTATTTCCTAATCTGCCCTTACTAAGTCAATTTAGTTGCCAGAGCACATTTTCAGCCTACAAGGCAAATTAAAAAGAGGGCAATGTTGTCAATTCCCAAACAAAAATAAAAGAGACATCATCTTCATCTCATGAACCAACTCGTATGTCCACCATGAAAGGACGTCGAGCTTCACTGTTCGTCTGCCACTTCGCTGCTGCTCGGAAATCGGAGCCACGACGGCCGCATACCTTCGGTTTGCCGGAATAAGCGGTTGATAGCCGCCGAATTTACCACCTCGCCAGACTGAGAACGGAGGTGCAGCGCCGCCGGAAAACAGGCATTTTCGGCCACCTTAAAGCCATGTCCGACGACCTGAAGGACGTCCGATCACCTGAGGGATTTCTGGAAAGCTGTAGAAGACCTAGTACGCGACCAGAATCCCGATACACCGAGAAAACGAGCTGTTTTGGTGGCCAGACTCACACGAGTCGTGTGGCTACATGACACGACTCGTGTCGCGTGAGAGGGGGTCCGAAACGAGCTACGGCTTTTGCACACGACCCGTGTGACACATTCACACGAGTCGTGTGAACCTGGGAGCAACCCATGTGCTTTTTACGACCAAAAGTGTATGAGTAAAACGGTAATGTGGACATGTAAATTTTTGAGTAGCGATTGTGTGGTGTGAAGTGAGTTTTCCAAGTCGTGTTTCTGTGGCTAAAATTGTTTATCTCTTGAAACTACCTCAGGTAAGTAGGCTTCATGTATGTCCCAAGTGTTGGCATATCTTGTCTCCAAATCTTCTGTTTAACGGGCAATTTCTTCTCAAATCACATGGTCGAAAAAAAAAAAAATATAAAAACCCCATGGAGTTCCAATGTTCAAACTTCACATAATTCTTTCTCATTAGTTAATTTATCTGTTACTGCCAACCATTTGGAGCTTCAATTATTGTTATTATAACTATAATAACAATGTAACACATATCTTTGTAGTATAGATGAGTAGAACTGATTGTATATAGTACAGGCCAAACCAAATGTTGCAACATAAATAGCTAACTGAAAATAATAGAAATGTACCAAAAAGAAAATAAAAGCAGACTAATGTTGCACTAGAGAGAAGTTAAAACTTGCAGCAGTTAAATTAATAGGCAAACATTGCAACAAATAAATTGTAACATTAACATTTTTGTTCCTAATGAAAATTCCATAAATAACTTGATATTAAAAAAAAAAAACATAAAAACCAAAAACATAAGTATCCATAAGGTGACATCATCTGCCAGCAACATCTTCAAAACATCCAAATCTTTTAGCAAACAATCTTTATTCCAATCTGCCATTCTTTATTGTAGTAGCTGCAACTTCACACCTGCAATAGTTTGTGAAAAATCAAACACCTGCCAAACTCATTCTACAAGTAGTTCATTGCAAAATTGGATTAAATAAGAGCAGCAATAACATGATATTTCCCACAATGAATATACCATGATGATCATTTTTTAGCATATTGTGAGCACAACCTAAATGATAAAACTTGACATCAAAGGTTAACATAACAAAAATGCATACCTGAAATCATATTTCAGTTCCATTGAAACTCATCAAAAGAACTTGGTAGGGAATTCAAATCCAAAAAGCTCATTGGACCTCTATCATCAATATATGGTGGGATTTGATCTTCATTCAAGTTTTCTGCCACAATTTGGCTTCTCTGACTGCCACATTCTCCGTGTCTATGAGTTGTTTGCCTGAGTCTCGCCTCAACAATTTCAAATTGTGATGGATCTCTAGTTGTTGAACTCAAATTTTTCTTCCTTTTTCCACTAGACGGTCTTCCTCTACCTTGTTGTACATCTGGCTCAAAGTTCAATGGAACCTCTTCATTAGCCAGCTCATGCAATTTCTCTTCAATATATTTCTTCCCACTAAGAGGTAATAGCTGATACTTTTCTCGCAAACTACTAAACAATCCACTCAAGATGGAATCATTATTACTAGTCTGACCATCAACAAAAAGAGATTCTCTTATGTCAATGCGCCATTGTGGATGTATAGCTGTAAGAGGTATTTCTCTTCCCACCCAGGCACTCATCATGTGTGCACAAGATAACCCCATAGTGGCCATAAAGCTACCGCTGCATGTCATACTCATCTTATGATTTTTTAACATCTCAAACTGTTGTGCTAACTTATCCAAGGCAAAGAATGACAAACGAGATACAACTTCTCTAAAAAATGGAACATTGCACCGGTGAGGAACTTGAATCCTTTCACTTGCTATTCTTACTTTGATTTCCTTAAGATCATTTTCAAGGAGAAGAGATATTTTCTGTTTGACACCTAACAAATCTCCAGTGGAGACAAATAAGTAGCCTTTCAATTTTGAATGTGCTCCTTCCGCTCTTGATGACGTACGCGTCCCAAAATGCATTTTTTGATCTGTCCACGCACTAACAAAATGTTGTTTATATGGAATCCATGTATCTCGAAGATAATTCAAAATATCAACCTTTTCGCTGTATACCAGCTCCATGTCATACCATGCTTGATTGAAAGCCTCCTCCGTAGAAGAGTACACAACCCTATTCCATGTGGTCAAAAAGTCTTCCCAATCTTCTTTTTTACCAAAACCAGCTTTACATTTGGAAAGAATATTTTTCTCAATGTGCCAAACACACAACAAATTTGTAGCATTAGGGAAAACATCCTGAATAGCTTTCATCAATGCTAATTCTCTATCAGTTGCAATAACAAAGGGACAAATACCATCACCAAGCATTCCACGAAAGACACGTAATGCCCATTCATAATCTTTATGTCCTTCTTTTCTTAAAAATGCAAAGCACGAATAGAATGACGTATTAAAACTAGTCATACCAATGATCTCTAGTAATGGCATCTTATAGCGATTGGTCTTGTATGTGCAATCCATAACAAAAACCGTTGAATAACTTCTACTCAATTTAATCAACTCAGGATGTGCAAAGAAGACATGAGTTAAACAACCTTTCTCATCATGTTTATAGTAAAAAAGATATCCAGCCTTACCGAATTCTTCAAATAGTACTTGAATTATAGTACGTCCATGAAGGTTGTCCTTTGCAATTTTTCTCTTCCTATTATAAACATCTCGAGCAACAATCCGAGTGCTGGGATTTTTTTGCCGCACTAATGAGATAATCTGACAAGGTTTAACTCCAGCTTTGCTCATCTCACTCACATCCATGATCTCTTCTTCTAAGAACACACGTTTAGATGGATGTCCAGCAATATCTTTGGAAGCTTCGTGATTATGTGAATCATTTTTAAGGAATAGTTTCCAGAAACCTTCTTCTTCCATCTTCCCTTTTATCTGAAACGGACAATCTATGAAGCGAGTAGTTGTTTTCCTTTGTCTCTCTCCAGATGGGGCGTTTAATCTGTCTCGATATGTTCCTCCTCTATCACATCCAATGGTAACATATCTATTTTTTCTTGAACTCTTGATGGATAAACAATACCCTAGATCACTGTAAAATTGTTTTGCAGCATTTATAAGATCCTCACGAGTCTTGTATGCAACATCAAACAATATATTTTTGTCTACATCTCTTGCACTCTTTTGGTTAATGTGAGGAGTTGAAATCAAATTCTCATTCTCTTCAAATCCATGATGTGCCATAAATGCCCAATTGGAGACTCTACGAAAAAAAAAAAAAAATAAAAACAGCAATCTATTGTTGCAGTAGAGAAAAGTTTAACTTACAACATGGAACAATAAAAGAGACACAAACAAATATGGAGTGGTTGATTGTTCATCCTTAATATTGGAACCCTAAGTTACTTTTGGAGGGAATTTGCTTGATATTTTTGGAGGGAAAATGGCCATGGAGATGGGAAGATAACGCCTTTAACGCGGCAATTGTGTGAAAGAGAATTGGCAAGTAGAGATTTAAAAATAATAAATCAGGAAATTTGACTTAGTAAGGGCAGATTAGGAAATAACTGTCAATTTTGCTCTTGCGGCTAAATTGTGCTCTGGCAATACCGCTGGCCTTATTTTTTTCATTACGTGATATAATGTAAATTTGGTTACTAGATTTTTAAATTCAAACATTTAGGAAAAAACCACGAACAAATTTTTTGGTTACATTTCATTTTATTTTAACTTCCATATAATCACAATCCTAACAAACTAATTAGTGTAATATTTTTTACCCATTTTTATATAATCGGATTTCTTAAAATATAATTAATATAACATTTTAACTATTTAATCATTTGTATAACTTGATTTAACTCATTATCAAACTTGCCAATTTTTTTTTTTAAATTAAAAAAAAAAATTGGAAGATTTTTATTTGTAAAATAATAAAAAATAGCTTTACTTTAAAGTCTGGATTATTTCCATTATTTTTTGTACGTTAACAATCATATATTTTGGATTATTGATTTAAAAAAACAAATCAAAACCGTAAGGTTTAATAATATTCCTTAAATAAAAAATATTGTATAAAGAAAAGTATTTAATAATATATATTTTTCATTGATTGTATTTATTTTATTTTCATAATAGACGAGATGTGAAAAATATAAATAATTATATTTAAAATAAAATCTAAAAAATGTTTAAAATATGAACTCTTCCGTCCATCGCACGGGATATACACTAGTTTATACGTACTTCAATCTATTATTATATAAAGAGGGAACCTAAACAATACAGAAGTAGTAACTAAAAAATAATTCAGATTCCCGCTAAAAAATATACTAAATATAGTAATTTTTTCAAAATTTTGAGAATATCCCGCTTAAAATGTGTTTCTGAATTTTTTTGAAAATAAATTAAATTCAAACATTTAAAAAAAAAACACATGAACCATGACCTTCTCAAGGTCATGGTTCCATATAAACTCCCAATTCTCAAGGTCGCAATTTCCCTTCTCCCCTCCGTCGAGATCGGTGCCGACGATCGCCACGAGCTCTTCATGACCTTCGAAAGCAGGCTCAAGCCAACGTCCACCAAAGCCACCATCTCCGGCCATGTGCATCAGGGACAAGTCAAACGGGCGTAGGACATGGCGGTTGTTGCTCTCGGTCCTGCTGCCGGCAGCCTGAGTGCCGGGGCGGACCGAACGTGCTGGACATGGCCATGTCGGTCTGGGTGATGGCCATGTTGGGTGCTGGGCAGATCGAACGTGCTGCACATAAAGGCTGAAGAATTTCATTGGTGTTGGCCATGTTAGGACGGCTGGAGAAGAAGGTGCAATGCTCGACTGAGCCCGGCCAAGTTTCGGCTAGAAAGCTGTGCACGTCTGTTCGTGGCTGAGCTCCCGAGTGTTGATGCTGACCAGAAGAGACGAAGAAGATGACGTGCTGGCCGGAAAAGACGATCGGAAGTTGCAGGAAGGCAGGAGAAGACGACCGACACATTTTGTGGCAAAACTTTTTGGCAAAACAATTGGGCGATATTTTTCGTGTGATGCGGCCAAGTTGAAGTGGACTCCCGACGTTGAATGGATAGACGCAGGACGTGAGTTGCTGGCCGAAATTCTGTGCAGGCTGCTGGCAATGGATGAACTCACCATGACTGGTTGCCTCTTGCGCAAAGGGCTGAGTGGGAGTGGCGCCGAACATGAACGATTCACCCCGGTGACGGATTTTGGCCGGACATGGCTGAAGGAGGCTTGCGGGAAGGTGCTGTGCAGATGAACTCTGGTTCGGGGAAGGAGACGTGCGTGTTTCTGCCCAGAAACTTTTCCGACCGTGAAAGTCGGCAAATTTGTTGCCGACTGAGCGGTTCTTTGGCAGAGAAGTGCGTGGACGGTTTATCTGTTTGAGCGAAACGAATTTGTGTATGCGTGAACTCCTGGATAATAGGAATTAGGAATTAGGAATTAGGAAAGACATCTCCAACTTCCAATATGTTGTTTTCTTATTTATTTATTTATTTATTTATTTTTATTGTCATTATTCATTTAATATGACTAATATTTATTTATGGGACTTGCATAATAATTGTTTAATGTGTATGATAATTAATTATTGTTATTGGTAGCATAGATAATTAATTCGATAAATATATAATATGCATAATATTTATTTATGAGATGTTCATATTAATTGTTTAATGTGTATAGTAACTAATTTATTGATATTGGTAGCATAGATAATTAATTACGTTAATTATCCAAAATATTATGATTACATAATTTTTTTTAATCTTTTACAAAATTATGACTCCATGACGTGTTTTGGAATTTTTTATTATTATTTTTTGTACATTAATAATATTACTTTTGGAAAATCTCAACCACACAGCAATTGGTTGTAGAAATTAATCAAACTACAACACCTCTTTATAGAATCGAAGAAACTTTTCATTTTTTTTTTTAAAAATCACACCGTCAATTGGGTGTCTATATTTATAAAATTACAACACATACTTACCAATTTGGAAAGAATACAAATCTACATGGACAGTTTAAATTACCTTCTTCGAGTTTGAAAAGAATCCAAATTTATATGGATGGTTTAAATTATTTTTGTCAGATAAGAAATTTCGAAAAATCCCGACTGCATAAATTACTGTTAATACTATCTAATTTTCTTTTTTATAATCTATTAATATATAAAGAGACAATGATATTTACTTGAAATAGCAACTAAAAATCAGCAAAAAAAATATTTGGTTTCCCGCCTAAAGTATTTACTATATTGAGTAATATTTTTTGCCAAAATTTGAAAAATCCCGCCTAAATTAATGTACAGAATAATTTTGGTCAAATATTGCGGTTATTACCTTTATTAATTGCATGATTTAAGTTTGGAATATAATATATTGACAAAACTTGCAGCTATTACATTTATTAGTTGCATTGTTTAAATTTGGTATATAATATATTAAAAAAATAAAAATATTTTTATTTAAATTTAAAAATAAAAAATAATTATTCATAACTTACGGGTGGATATTAACTTGGACGTAAACGAAATAGTCAATTATTTATAGTTCAATAAATTACTCAACTACTTAATTTTTTTTTATTTGAATAATTTATACAATATATATTTTATATTTATACTTATTATTCACATAGGTTGTTAAATATATGATAACATTTTACCAAAATAACTATTATGTGGAATCACATATAGTCAAATCGATTTTCTAAATAAAAATTTTGAAATGATACTTATTTTGAAACGAATATAATGTAATTTATTATCAGTAATGTACACCGCACGAGTTGTATACTAATTTTAAATAGATATTTTTTATGTAATTTTGCACAATTTAAACTTTATATAACATTTTAAATAAATTAATATAGGTAAATTATATTACATATTTATTCCATATTTTTAATTTATAATATTATTTAACAAGAAATTTTAATTTATAAATATTAATGAATATCTTTTAGCCGTGCACTGCACGGGACTCATACTAGTTGCAATTTAAGAGGCTTAAAGATAAAAACCATAATGAAATCAATGTGACTTCAGTAATACACTGGTTACAGTTCCACCCCGAGAACGATCCTCGCCGCCGCCTCCTCGCCGCAGCCGTCGCCGGGCCTGCATACAACCGTCGTAAAGCTGAAGATAATTTCAGGACTCAAATAATCGGACAACTCCAAGAAGACGTTCACACCCCTCTCCGAAATTCCTCCCGCCGGCCGCGTCTTAGCAATCGGGAAATCGCCGCGTGTCCACCGCCGGCGAGCTTCCCTTCTCCTCCCCTCGCCCCCTCTTCTCTCCTTTTTATTTTTAGTTGTACCATTTTGCCCCAATTTTTATCTCCTTCAGATCCCCATTGCCGAGTTGAGGCACAGCCGCCTTCCTACGTCACCGCCCTCGCCAGCCGCTGTCACTTAGGTATGCTCCGCCTCTCTCAACCTCTTATTGTATTGAATAATAATAAACCCATTACCTCTCACATAGAAAATATTCATCTCGATCCAGATTTATAAGTTGAATTTAGGAAACCAGAGGTGATATTTGGTAACTGATAAAGATGCCGCAAGTGAAAATTGTGGCGAGGAATTTTATGGACATGGTGGCATCATTGCCTGCATTGAAACTCGACAAGCTTTATGAAAATTCGTTCATATGTGAAGCCATCCTCAGGTTATTTACTATTCTAAGCATCATGTGTACTTAAAATGAATATTAGTATGAGCCCTCATACCCTGTGAATTTACTGATAATTAGTTCTTTCCTCAGATCTTTGCCTCCACTGGCAAAGAAATATGTGCTGCAGCTGTTGTACCTCGATGGGCCTGTACCGGCAAAGTCTTTGGAAGAATGGGTTCTCCCTGATGGAGTTTCAAAGCACAAAGTTGCAATAGATAGATTGATTCAGCTTAGGATCATAACTGAAACTGTTGATCGGTACTGTTATCTTTATTCATATCGTTATTTTCCTTTTTTCCTTATTGTAATTTTCGTTGAATCTTTTAACGGCCCTTTTTTTTGGTTCACTATAGTGTTTTTGCCACATGTTTATTGCAGTTTCACTAGATACGATTATGCTTTTAACTAGAATTTGGTCGTGAGATACTTACATAAATGGTACTCTGTGTGGCATGATAGTTGAGATGCTTCTTAGTCATACATAATGTGTTTGTTAGAAGAAACAAACCAGATCTTCCTAACCAGAATAAGTTTCTACCTTTTTTTTTTTTTTTTTTTTTTANCTATTAAGTATCTGTATCATGAATGGTCACCTTGTATCATTGAACAGAGGTGTAGTTGATAACAAGTTTACTTACTTATTGAAGTACATGAATGGTCTCCTTGTAGTTGATTTACTCAAACAGGCTATTTTTTTCCTCTCCATATTTAATCATTTCTGTCTGAAACTCTCATGCATTGAGGAATAGTCGTTCAAGGTAATATGGTATCTTTTCTTCTGAATCTTGGTCATGTAACCATACTTTTTCAAGGAGTTGAATGAGCGACATCGGCCTTTTGTGAATTCCCTTTTCACAGAGTAACTTAAACCGCATATTCAGCTCTGTCTGCAACTTTATTTCCAAAATTGTAATTTATTGTCATTTCTTATCTCTGTTCTCTGTGGTGCATGAATTTTTAAAGCTGTTCTTTCTTCTCTCTCTTTTTTTTTGGCATTTCCCCCTCTTTCGTCTATGAAGATGTGTAACTCACTAGTATTTGTGACTTTCTGGAGTTTCATCTTGCATACACATAGACTTGTAGTGTAATTTTCTTATTTTGATTTGGTGACAGGAAGAAAGAAGCTACTTACTTAATGACTCCAACATTTCAGCGTAATCTTCAGAAACACATTGTGCATGGGTGAGACAAAGGTTCACAAATACTGTTTTATTTTTCCATTTTCACTATAAGTTACACATTATGTTTTCTGTAACAAAAACTTGAATTCTGTAGTGGAGTTTTACCAAGAGAGCCAATGCCTTCGAACATCACTGTGAGGCTTCCTAGCTTGGAAGATTTAGATGCCTACGCTCTTAAGCAATGGGAGGTTAGGATTGTTATCTACGCTTTAAATTTTAATCATCCCTCTGCTGTCATGCAGTAATGTTCAGTAAATTTTGTGATGATTTACCATTAGTCATTGTTATTTGCGTTATCAACTCTTTTTTTTTTTAACTTTTATGTTATATTAGCAAATAAATCGATATTATGTCTTATTATTTTGCAATTTTTACTTATATAGTTTGTCGGCTCTTTTTTCCATGCAAAAATTGTTGAAATCAGTCTTTCTTGCTTCACCTCATAAACTCTGCTGATGCCGAAACGTCGACAAACATAAGTTCTTCCATGATGAAGATATTCCAGCGTGGTCTTCTGGGTCAGAAGTATTTTCTGCACCCGATAATCTTGTGGCTTTCTGTATTTTCTTGTAATGGTTTTTTAAAAACATTGTTGTTGACTTGCAGAGATGATAGGGAACCTCCGAAATTGACAGCAAGTGGCTTCCAGTTTCTGGTATGAGTCAAACAACTTAATTCATGTACGTAATAATAATAAAATTCACCTGTTTCTTAATCGCAAAAAGAAGAAAAAGAAATGTCCTAGTTCCTGTAGATTGCTTGAAGCTATTGCTGATTGCTAACAAATTCTTTCTGCAGTTGATGGATACGAATGCACAGCTTTGGTACATAGTCAGAGAGTATATAAGTAACTGTGAGGTATTGTATGCTTAGATTCAATTTTCTTTTTTCTTTCATCTCGTATTATCTCAAATCAAAGCTGATTAAACCTTATCTTCTATGAAAGTTATGAAAATAGAATCAGAAGATTTTGTCGATCATGGCGTGAAGCTTTCCTAGATTATGACAATTTCTGTTTCATTTTTATATACTTAGGGTTGTAAATTCTTTTGCTATTCTCCTTATTTTAACCATGCACTAAGTGTAATATCTACACTAGCTTTTAATATTCTAACTAAATAAATGATATGCAGGCAGGATAAGTGCAGTTACCCTAGTCTTTCGAACATCTAGCATAGACATTCATGTTTGTTTGCTTTTACTAAATTAGTTTTCATGTGTAGAACATTATGCCAATATATATATATATATATATATATATATATATATATATAAATTAAAAAAATTAAAAAAAAAATCTTGAATAAAGATCTATGAAAATGTCATTGTGTTTGTAGGATCATGGTGTAGATACAGCTGACCTTATATCATTTCTGCTGGAGCTCAGCTTTCATGTTACGGGCAAGGTAATGAGTTTGAGGTCATCTATGCTACTGGCTAGTATTATTAGTATTTATATCTCTGTTTTAAGTGATCCAATATCTATCATTATATAAAAAGAATAACTTTTTTACAAATTTAGAAACATTTTCCCGCCAAAATCATTAAATATATTCTACATATAGTAATTGTTGGACAAATCTGAATAGGCAAAAAAATCGGCTCATTAATTGTGTACAGATTTATTTCTCTTTTTCCTGTTTTTTAGTTTATCAAAACCGTTGTTTGACAATAAATATTTGTTTTTCTTTTTCCTATTTTTAGTATAAATCTACACGAGTTACAAAATCCCATTGCTTATCTCTTCTGTTACAAAATTCCATTGCATACGTCTCACGTGTTTAAAAAATCTCATCCCTTATCTATACAGATTTGAAAAAATAAAATAAAATAGAAATCAATTCATAATTACTATTAGAAATCCATTATCTTTAAAAAGAAAAAATAAAATAAAATAGAAACTCATTTATAATTACTACTAGAAATCCATTATCTACTTTAATCATCAGTCTAATTACTAATATTTTTACAAATATTATAAGCTAATTATACAAAAAAGTATAATAATAATTTTGAAACGGTGTGTAATCAAATCTTTTTATATTCCCTTATACAAAATAATTTTACATTGTTAGACCCCGAATCTTTAATTTATAATTATTAAGCATTGTTTATCCTCCTCTTTAATTTATAATTATTTTTTTTCTTCTTTTTAAATAGGATCAATAGTAGTTTCCACTTCCGCCATTGAGTGACTCAAACTCGATGTCTATTTATAATATTGTTAATTTAATATTGTTTCCGTGCAGAGCACGGGGTACACACTAGTTAGATGGTGAACATGCTATGCGATTCTGTGAATTCCTTGTTTTTTCTGTTTTTTCCTTTGCCTTTGAAAATGATCAGTTCTGACCATCCGGCCCGAACAAATAAAAATACAATAAAATAAAATAAAAAAATGAATGAGGTTCAACTTTATCATGGCTCTGAACAATTTGTTTTCTTTTGTAGGCATATAACTTGAACACTTTAAATGATATTCAGAGGAGTATAATAAAGGATCTTGCTGACTTGGGACTGGTCAAGCTTCAGCAGGTTCTAAGCTTCCACTTTATCACGTATTCCTATTAATTTCTCCTCGGTCTTCGTCTCACACTAAGCATCTTTAATTTATTGTACAGGGCAGGAAAGAGAGTTGGTTCATTCCTACTAAATTGGCGACCAATTTATCCATTAGCTTAGCGGATACATCATCGAGAAAACAGGTATATTTCTGTAAGAGTTGGTCAATTTTATTTACAAAGTTTTTTTTTTTTTTTTTTTTTNGTTTTTTTTTTTTTTTTTTTTAATTCTTGTGGAAAGTAGATTGTGATTCTGATTGATTCTTTCATCAGGGATTTGTGGTCGTGGAAACTAATTTCCGAATGTATGCATATTCCACGTCTAAATTGCACTGTGAGATCTTGCGCCTCTTTTCAAAGTACGAATCCTGTCAAATTTCATTCCTTATAAACATATGCTTTACCAATAAATTTATATCCTATTTGAAACTTTTGTCAAGATTACATTTTTTAACCTTTCTTCATACCCCAATTTCAGGATCGAGTACCAACTTCCGAACCTCATTGTTGGTGCAATTACTAAAGAGAGCTTGTATAAAGCATTACTAAACGGCATTACTGCCGATCAGGCAAGTACCACCTTCTAATAAGTTATTACTTCCTTAAGCCTTGTAACATTCACATGAGCAAGCTCTTTCATAAGCTGTATTATTTTTTATTTTTTTTCACTTCTTGATTATCATTATATTCTCCTTTTTCCTGATGGGAATGCAGATAGTGTCTTTTCTTCAGCAGAATGCCCATCCTCGGGTGGCCGAGAGAACACCTTCTGTACCTGAAAATGTTACCGATCAGGTTTTCATTTTACATTTTTCTTCAACTCTCCTCTTCCAAGTCTCAAAAGTAGTTCAAAAAAAAAATGTTTTGGCGAGTTACTTAGAAAATTAAAGTAAAACATTTCTTTTTTTTTTTTTTTTNGAACGACCAGATTAGATTGTGGGAAGCAGATTTGAACAGAGTGGAGATGACTCCTGCTCATTACTATGACGAGTTTCCATCCCGGGTATGTATTCATTATATAAACATGATTATTTCTTCTTTCGATAGGAAGCGATTTGTTTCTTCATACAAAAAGCCTCGTTTTATATTTGTCTTGCATAGGATGTTTTTGAGGCTGCCTGTAACTTTGCTCGGGAGTATGGTGGCTTGTTATGGGAGAATTCAAAGAAAATGCGCATTGTGGTGAAAGCAGAGATTTTCTCGCAGATGAAAGAGTTCCTTCGTAGCCAAAGGCAATAGAATACACGGCGCTTATTCTTAACGGCTTAAAAACAAGTTCTTTGGCCGAAAAAAAAAAAGAGTATTACCTTCTGGAAATTCATGACTGTGACTATAGACGCCGGGTTTCAAATTTATGCGGTCGATTTTAAACGAATGAGACATATTGGGAACACTAACTTGGAGCTGAACCTGTTTCTTGATTTTTCAAAGTTGTATTTATTGGCATGTCTGTTGATATATAGAATGTGCTTTCCATTGGAGGATATTTGGTTGGTTTTCTCTTCATTTATTGAATAGGATTTGCTTATATGGTAGCTGAGAGTGGAGAAAGATTCCCACATGAAACAGTTTATCATAATTTGAGTGATAAATGATAAATCTCTATTTACAGCTACATGTAAAAGTGTCACAGTTAATTTCTTTTGAATTGAAATATGACTTGAAATGGTATGATTATGCAAGTATCATGAATTTCAGTACAAGACTGTCATTAGCTTATGCTAAAAATATTACTACATTTTAAGACTCATGTTATAGGTTTATACAAAATTGTTCAACAATGCCCTAATTGCCTTCAAATTTGAACATATACAATTTCAAATAAAACTATTTCCAATTATAGTTGCTGAAATTCACAACTCACAACATTTGATGGAGTTAAATATATGTTGCAGCATATCTTGACAAGAGCATGAGTCCCTAAACAGGCAAAAATCCCTAAAGAGTTTTATATACATCGTGCAAAACGAGTAATCGGTATATACAGTCAGAAGTGTTTTCAGTGTTTTATACAAATGGCGGTCGAAGATCAGACAACCTTCCTCAGCTTACAACACAGTCAAAAGCTTTATTTACCAGTGGCATATTCCTGGAGTTTCCACTCGAGATAAAGCTATCATTTCTTCGAACTTTGAAGCATATACGAAACCCCATAGCTGCACAAATCAGTGAGACAATAGTAGGAAATTTATAGCATATCGTGCTATTGACAACAAGTTAAAATAAAAAAAAAAAAATACAATAACAAATTTGTTTTGGTAATTTACCAGAGAACAATTTGATAAGTTTTTCAGAATGTAGCAACTTCGATAGTAATTAACTCATTATGCTACAAAATGGGATGAATAGGGAAAAGGAAGCAACATCTTAGAATACCTCAACTTCCTTCACCTCAAAAGCTTCCGAGCCGGCCAAACAAGGATTTCCGTAGGTTTCAGATAACGAACTTGATCCGCTCAATCTCAAGTGGGAAAAATAAGTGAAAGTCAGTAAATATCAAGCGGAAAAAAAAAAATTAAAAATAAAAAAAAAATGATGCAATTAAGGGGAAAAGAAAGAATAGCCTACAAATCTCCATCCAAATATAGGGCAAAATGACCACCACCGCCCATGGCCAAATACTCGGTAGAGCACAAGGTAAAATATCGATTCATGCCTGTTTTAAGCATAAGTATAAAAGTAAAAAAGTGAAAAAAACAGTAAAGTTAAACAAGCACAAGTAAATCTGGACGAGAAAAAAAGTGTGTTATATACCTGTAGGACGAAATATAAGAGGATGTCCAGAGTTGTTCGAGAAGACAAACGAATTATTTGATCCCTGGCAAAATTATTAGCCTTTTTAACTTGGGGAGCAGGTAAAAGAACCTTATTTCATCCTATAATAAGAAGTTAATAATCTGTATTATATATTACCTGATACCTTCTCTTGCTTGATGGTCTCAAGGGTGCCTCCACTAAGCCGCCAAATATTGCTCCATTACGGTCCCCAACAACCTAGAAAAATAACATGAAAAAAATAAATCTAAACTTAAAAATTTAACTTCATTCTGTACTTATCATGAGAGAGAGAGAGAGAGTACCAGCAAACTGAGACCAGGCCAAATCATACTTCTTCTGTACAATGTTGAAAGAGATATACCATGCCTCCAAGTACTGAGAGAGAGAGAGAGAGTTAATAAACGAACAAATAAATGAAATTCCAATAAAAAGCACAAGTAAAACATAAGACATGAATATTGAACCTGTACAATAGCATCCATTTTCGTCCCTGAACAATCACAGGAAGTGCGGCATAAAGCACACTCCGAATCTTTTCAGAGAGAAGTACCGATGGTTCAGAAGTTTCCGGAAGATACTCAGAAGAAATCACTGATATCGATTCATTCAGAGTCTGCATTGAAATCCCTTCATTCCGAGTATCACTTCCATTTCCAGCAGCCGTATCGAGTTTGCCTTTGGGGCCTTGATCTCGAAAACCACCAATCTTTGCAGCTTGATAGAAGGCTTTACCAATGGTATGCTTACCCCTCGAAAACAAACTTTTCTTTCTTGCGTTCTCTTTAATTACTATTGGTTCGGGTGGTTGCTTCAACCCATCATCGTGAGTATCGGATCTTTCTTCTGAATGATTTTCGTGTCCTGAGGATGCTAAAAAGGAATATAGAAATGCAGAAAAAGAAGATGTATCGGGACCATTGACAGAGTCCTTTGAATCCTCTTCCAAATCCGATTGGCTGTTTTGAGAGTTGTTGAGATCATCCTAGAAACCATGATCAAATTTACAAAACCGAAACATGCTAATCAATTTGAGCTACTTTAGACATGGAAAATCAGCTTGAAAGAAGCCAAAAGCAACAGATAAGGAAACGAGAAAAATGAAAATTGCATCCTGCAACTGCAAGAGGCACAATAAATGGGGATTACAGTACTTCGGTCATCCCACAAGTGTAAATTTTCAGAAATGAATGTCTGAAAATAGAACAACGCCTTTCTTTAACAATCAAAAATAACTAAAACCCAGCTTATGTCCAGAACGCAAGACCCACAAAATCCAGATATACCAGCTCATAACCCTATTTCGATACACAAGAATAAAGCGAAAAAAATCGAAACTTGGGCTGCTAATCACCAATATCTCACACACAGCTCAAGAAAATTGACAAACAAACAAAAAGGGAAAGTTAAAATAACATTCATACATGAGAAGAAGGCTTTGACGGCGGCGCGGAGGGTTTGTCGGAGATGGGGTTGAGGAGAACAGTGGTGATGTCAGATACAAAGTGCACGGCTTTGCTCCTCAGCGACTTTGACGGCTGCTGCTTTTGTTCTTGCTGTTGTTCATCCTGCTTTCTCCCCATTTTCTTGTTATGGTTATGCTGCTTCGATTATCTATCTTTTCTATTTAACTCTTATCATGATATGATATTTCAGTCACTGCTACATTTTCCGGCAAAATCTGCTGCCGGACGCGAGCTTTTTACTAGTTTAAGGTATAGTTGTTTTTCTTCGAGATGATAAAATGCAAAATGACGACGATCGACGAACAAATAGTAGGTGCGTGGGGTTAGAACTTTTTTTTTTTTTTTTTNACAAAAACAAAAACCAGTATGCTTTGTTTAAGCGGTTTTTATAACTTTTAATTAAAATATTTATGATAAATTGAAATAAGAAGGACTCCGTGGCCCAATGGATAAGGCGCTGGTCTACGGAACCAGAGATTCTGGGTTCGATCCCCAGCGGAGTCGACAATTTTTATTAATTTTTCCTATTTACTTTTTAATTTCTTTTCCGGCCAACGCTGATTACATAGTTGTCTAGGAAAACAATTCGTTATTTGTATTTTAGTGTGTTGGATTGTTATTATTTTGTGTTTTAGATTTGTATTTGTCCTCGATTTTTTCATTTTTTTTTTATTTTTTTATTGTGGANAATCCAGTTCAACAAAGTTGGCTCCAAGGTTTTCATACATTATCCGGCAGCACACCCCGGAATTAGTCAACATAATAGTAAGAGTACACATTTTTTCCAGCGTTCGTTAAGTAAAAGCAAGCCACAAAAAAGTCAAACCAAGGCAATTGTACTTTCGCCGCCAGGTGGCTTGCGGACCCCACCCAAGCAGTCTCTAGCCTCGACTTTCCCATCTGCAAAAATGTCACTGCCGCTCATTTCTCTAAGCTTAGCCACACTCAGGGACTTCTCGGCAGACCCATGGCCCACATCCCCCTTGAAAATATTGTTCCCACTAAGCTCGGCAAATTTCTGGTTATGGATTTTCTTCGTGGCCTTCACCTCGGGCTCATCCCCGAACAATATGTTACTGTGCCCCCCAGCAGGCTTAGAAAATAAATAAATATATATAAATATAAGCTTGAGTTTCACTGTACACTTGCAAGATTATGAAAAGCATATACAAGAGCTTACTGGTTTTACTTTTATTCATTTATTTCTGGTGTATATGTGTGTGTATTTACGAGAAATCCAGATTGTTCGAAAAACTATGGCTATGTTTGGTAGATAAATAAGCTAGCTTATAAGCTTTCTGTATTTAAATAAGCTTCGTTTGGATAGCTATTCAAATAAGCTCATTGAAATTTTTGTTTCAACTTGCTAGCTTATCAGTTAATTTTACCAAACACTTTTATCATATAAGCTAGTTTTTCAGCTATAAGCTCGAAAATTAGCTATCACCTAGTTTTACCAAACGTAGCCTATACTGATTTTCAAAGTGCAGTCTAGTTTATACGGTAATAACTACTAACTAATAACCCCCCGTGTTATTGGCACGTGTAGAAGGTTAATTTGAGAAAAGAAAAAACATAAACAAAACAAAAAAAAAAAAAGGAAAAATGGTGCTTGGGGAAGATAATCGAGACTCACGTTAGAAACTTTGACAGACGTGCGGACGCTACGTGGCGCGGGTTCACCCATGTCCTTGATTTCTTTAGTCTCAAGAGTACGTGAAGCAGCTAATGAGCGAGGAGGGATCTCAGCAGGTGGGCCAAAAATGTCGGTCCCACTTAATTCCTTGCACTTAGCATCCGAAAGCTGCTTTTTAGCTTTGCTGTCCGAATCGCTTTGCAAGGTCCCACTCAGTTCACGCTGTTTTGCCACCTCAGGGATTGTGGTTGGTTTCTTAGGAGAGATTTTTTCTTCGGTGCTGAACGAGATCTGACTAATCCCATTTGCAGCTTGCTAATTTTAAAAAAACATAAAGTTTTAGTTTTTCTTGTCTATATACTGCTGAAATGTAATAAATGTTTATCATTGAATGCTGCCCTAAAAAAAAAGGCATGAAGTACCTGGACAATGCGGACTGAAGTTCGATTGGTTGAGTTACCATCAGAAGCTCCGGATTCTGTTGACTCCTCTTCACCATTGGCAGAAAATATTTTGCTGCCCGTCATCTCCTTCAACTTATATCCAGAACAAGGCTTCCTGAAAGCAATAAGTAAAAAATTATCGACACGTGTCAAAAGATACAGCAAAGAATTAAGAGAGCTCGACCTGTTTGGAGGATACTTAATCAATATCCTCTATCCAAAGGAATTGCAAATATGTGTCATGTTAGCACAAAGATGCATCTAAAATAACAATAAAGGGATGGGAAAAATGCATTAATACCAAAAAAAATTCACATTTTTCATTCAAACCTCTCCTTGTCTTTTTGTCCCATTTAGTTGAGAGTTGGGGCATCATTTTCAGTATTTGGTTTAATGTGCAGTACATGACAATGGTGAATAAAAACTTCAGCGCAAAGACATTAACAATTCTGCTTCACACCATTTCCATCCACAAGCAACCACTTTTCACAAATTCATGATTTGATCGGTGTATGATTTTTTAAGGGCAGGTTACCATTTATTATGGAAAACAGAACACAAGTTCTCCCACTTTGCACCTACCGAAGTCATGAAAAAATTTAGGGTTGTTAAAGCGCCTGTCTAGTGTCTAGGGGCGTCCTGAGCTATTAATCTGATTCCTAAGGCCTCTAAATTAACATTCTAACTAAAGTGGCGGTATATGAGTGCATATTCAACTACGGAATTGGACATACACAATTAATTT